GTAGTCTTGTAGATGGTTATCAAAGTCTTAGAGAAAACTCGCATCCACGTTCATGGAGGTACCTGTCAGTAAATGGCTGACTACGAACTGGATGTCTGAGGTTCTATTCCCTGTACGGGGTACTCACGTCTACATCCCGTACAGAAATAATTTCTGATCTGGGTGTTTAACTATGCACTTTAATTTACCTTTATGGAATTGTGATTTGCATAGGGATACCTGAACATTTTTAAAACGAATTGCTATTAAGAGACTTTGTAGTTAATGTAGAGCTTCTTAGGGTTCCGAAGGAGTATACAGTGTAGGCTTTAAAACTACCTGTGTTAGGCGTAGAAAACCACACAGAAATTTCACATGTCACGCATCATAATTAACTCAGTCGCCATGCTATTGTCTTACATTTTTCTTACAGCTACTTCAATGAGGTTAGAAGATGGCTGTCAGGGCAATCGTCCTGATGACGGAGGCAGCAAAAACCTATAAAACTTAAAAGACAGCCAGCCATCTTCGTTCACACCGCTGCGAATACCTCAAATCCTACTTTGGCGTAAGGTTTATCACTATACAAAACTTCAAATCATTACACTGAATAACTCCCTGAAGTCCATATTATTGACGTTATTAATAACAAAAGTTACGAGATACAAATATACGAATGTATCCAAAAGCGCGGTATCTGTAATGATATCACAAAGTCGATCTATTGATGTATAAAGTGAAGCTTTCGCGGCGACTGAAGTTGATGAAAGACTCTCGGGTTACAGGCAGCCCTGAGGATGAGAGCATAGATTACTCTCGAAACGTTAGCAGAAAATATGGTTTATTCACCATTCAGCCACCTGACGCGTCTCGTAACCAAGAGTCTTTCATCGGTCTATTGATGTTTGTGGTTGCCCTAGGGTCTAGGGAACGCATGGACCACTTACTAATTGGAACCAGAAGAAGACGTTGCGTTACTTCGAAATATACTGGGAAAGAACTGACATCATGAAAAATTAAAGGCCAAATGTGTCTCAACTCAACACGTTACAGTGTTCCAAGTTCTCTTTTAAGGCCAACAGCATTAAAAGTTGATGACGAAATTCTTAATATGCCACGGACAACATGGAAAATCGATTCAATTTCAGAATACTATAGCACTCTCTTCAAGTGTGTGAAGACGTGTCGAAGTAGGGCTAATGGCCTTGGACTTCGACCCATAGACCTCTTAGACGCATACAAATTACACTTTATCTTAGCTAAGATATAATTTGCACAATGATGGTCAAAAGTTACACGTGACCATAAGTAGCAATTGATTCGACTCTCGTTTTAAAGTGTAGAGATATTTATAAACGCAAATTCTATGTCCCTATTCCCAAAATTGCTGCAGGAACCCTGGTTTTACTTTAGTCCAGCGCCTCTAAAACATTTACTCGGGATATTGATTTTACCACCATGAAAACTTGGGGACCCCTACCTCTTACGGACTCAGTTTTGTGAGGCACACAGTAAAAATTTGGGTACTTTTTGTCGGCCGGAAAAGCTCGTGATAAGATACAAGGACGTAAAAGAATTATGAATTTATTAACCGCGGTCTCATGAAAGCGATAACGAACGTTCGGGTTCCAAACATGATATGTAATATCTCGACTGGCTATCAGCGCCTCAAGAAGGACTTCTTAATGGAGTAAGATGATTAATTAACTTCTGAGTCAAGGTGAATAAATTCCAGGATTGACCCAGAGATGCCTTTACATTTGTTACCTTCCCGGGAATATGGAGGAATTTTACTGACAAATTTAACAACACTTTATCAGCATCCAATGCTATTAAGAGTAGGTATTAGATTACAACCTAAATTTCCACAAGTTTAAATGAGTTAGGTCCAACAGATATTTGCCGCCTGTGGTAGTTCACCTGCTCTATTGTAAAGATAAAAGAGTATTACCTTAAGATACCTAAGCGGTAGTGATGATGAGCTGCCTTGCTGATCCTGAGATATTAATGGAGTAAACATTTAATTAGCTTTAGTCGAGGATCGAACCTAGGTCTCGTAGGTTTCAGTACAAGCTCATTACTAATATACGTGCGGTTATCCGCCGCTGAAATAGATTCCAGGGTAATCCCTGTGGGAAAAGGGGTGGACAAAGTGGCAGTGGGACGGAATTTTTCAGTCATTATTCTACTATTATTACATTATTATTATTCTATTATTACATAACATGAGCTTGAGACTTCAGTCAGAAATAAATTATTATATATTCTGCTTGGATGTTATCCACTACCTGTTATTTAACATTACACCAACTTCAACATTAAAAATTATAAAAATTACTAAGTGTCTGTCTACAGGAGTAAGGTCTGTTTTTATCCTAATAGCTTTTCCTATGTAGGACCCTTCTTACCTGAATATGGAGACAGCCAGTCTCAAAAACGTAGCAAATTTTATGCTGTTCAATTTGTATAATGTTTACGTTCATGTAACTTTAAAAAAGAGAAAATATGCAATGTCCAAACATAATATAACAACAACAATAATTTTATAACATTGCCACAAAGACCCCTAAGGAGGAAAGCTGCCAGCAATTAAGAACAACGTGGTTAATTAGACACTTTGGTATTTCTCAAGCTGCCCATTTTATGTCAAAGCATATTTTAACGAAGAACGATTCATAGAATTAATTTGAATATTATTACTTAACATCAGATATTTCCCTTTGTAAAACCTATTCAAAATACACATTTCATGTATAGTTTCCACAGCCTTACGGAATTACACCAACAATTTCTCCGAACACGTAGGTCTTAGGCAATGTGGCATAGTTTTAACATAATCTTTGCTACAGTAACTAAATACGATATGAGAAGCAAAATAAATTTATACATCCACTCTGAGAGCGACATAGAAATATAAACATTCAGGTTCATAAGCCTACAGTATATGTATGTATATATATAGCTACCATTAATCTATAAAGAGTTAATGATCATATACCGCTCTTACATTACAGATGAGCACATACAACTTATTTACAAGTATAATCAATCTGCTGTCTTTGTTACAAAGCCTTACCTGTAAAAGATTATCCTTCTCATTTTCAAGTCTAAATATTCGGCAACTGTCTCTTTTAATACAAAATTTCCCTCCCCACATCTCCGCATACGGGCACCTGCACGTGTGTTCTTACATTATGATGACGATACACGCTAGTTTTCCTCCCCCCTCACTTTGTGTATCCCCTTGTGTGCATTTTGAAGATTCCCCCTCTCATCAAGGTGGTCGTCTGACAGAATAAAATGTGTGGAAGTATATATAAGGTAAAAGAGTAATCATTTACAAATCGTTCCTAGCAGCAAGACCGAGTTGCGGAATGATGGCACAGCTGCAGGTAAGCTTCAACCTTGACACTTCACTGCAGAGTTTTAAATCCTGTGATACGCAGCTTTCTTAACCCGCGATTCGGTTTTAACGGTACGCATAAATCCTTGAGACTAAGAAAGTGTTTGTTCGGTCCTCGCCACCAGACCACAGGACAAAGTCATGATACAAAAGCAGGTAATAAGTTCTTTGAAGTAGGATTTGAGGTTGTTGCGCCGTGTAGTCTGGTCGATGTTTACCAACGGTTCAGAGGTCATACTGCCTCCGTCATCAGAGTATGAAGACTTCTGTCTTCTGGGTTGTTGCGCCGTGTAGTCTGGTCGATGTTTACCAACGGTTCAGAGGTCATACTGCCTCCGTCATCAGAGTATGAAGACTTCTGTCTTCTGGGTTGTTGCGCCGTGTAGTCTGGTCGATGTTTACCAACGGTTCAGAGGTCATACTGCCTCCGTCATCAGAGTATGAAGACTTCTGTCTTCTGGGTTGTTGCGCCGTGTAGTCTGGTCGATGTTTACCAACGGTTCAGAGGTCATACTGCCTCCGTCATCAGAGTATGAAGACTTCTGTCTTCTGGGTTGTTGCGCCGTGTAGTCTGGTCGATGTTTACCAACGGTTCAGAGGTCATACTGCCTCCGTCATCAGAGTATGAAGACTTCTGTCTTCTGGGTTGTTGCGCCGTGTAGTCTGGTCGATGTTTACCAACGGTTCAGAGGTCATACTGCCTCCGTCATCAGAGTATGAAGACTTCTGTCTTCTGGGTTGTTGCGCCGTGTAGTCTGGTCGATGTTTACCAACGGTTCAGAGGTCATACTGCCTCCGTCATCAGAGTATGAAGACTTCTGTCTTCTGGGTTGTTGCGCCGTGTAGTCTGGTCGATGTTTACCAACGGTTCAGAGGTCATACTGCCTCCGTCATCAGAGTATGAAGACTTCTGTCTTCTGGGTTGTTGCGCCGTGTAGTCTGGTCGATGTTTACCAACGGTTCAGAGGTCATACTGCCTCCGTCATCAGAGTATGAAGATTTCTGTCGTCTGGGTTGTTGCGCTGTGTAGTCTGGTAGAAGTTTACCGCCGGTTCAGAGGACATTGCTGCTTCCATCATCAGGGCGATCCATCGCTCGGCGCAACAACCCAGAAGACAACCATCTTCAAGTTATTTGAAACTGTGGGAAACTTGAAATATTTGAAAACGACGGCAAAGAATACAAATTGCATTCACGAAGAAATTAAAACCAGATTAAATTCGGGGAATGCTTGCTACCATGGAGCGCAGAATTTCTTGTCTCCCTGTCTAAAACGGCAAAGATTAAAAATTTGGAGAGATTATTAACATATAATTTTATCTGTCGTTTTGTATGAGTGTGTTACTTGGCTTCTCGCTATAAGGGAAGGGCACAGATTGAGGATAACTGAGACCAAGGTGCTTTTGATCTAAGATGATTAGACAAGAGCCTGGAGAAAATTTCACAATGTGAAACTCCATAATTTGTCATATTCATCGAATATTATTATGATGATCATATAAAGGAGAATGAGGTTGGTGGGGAAAGTAGCTTGTTTGGAGACATTTGAAGTGCACACAACATTTTTAAAAAAAACCGGAGGGAAAATACCACTCGAAAGACCTAAGGCTTAGGTGAGAATATAATATTAAAATGTATCTTTGGAAAATATGGTTTGGGATGTAGACTGGATTTACATGGATCAGTGGCGGGCTCTTGTAAACACGATAATAAACCTTCAAGTAACATAAATGGCTGGGAATTTCTTAACTAGCAAAGTGTATAATCAGCTACTAAAGAAGCATTCTGCACCATGGAGGTAGTTAGATTAGAAATATGAGTGACTTCACTATTATTAATGGTATGTTTGTTTTTCCAGGTTGTAGTTTTATGTGTGGTGACGCTGGGAATGGTGTTCTCGGCTCCACAACAGCAAACAACACCAATCCCCATTCTCAGGTCTGCGCAGAACAACGATTTGGCAGGAGGATACAGTTTCAGGTGATTCTCACAGCAGTTACAGTGCATGTAGAGTAGGGGCCAGATTACTTGCTAGCTGAGCTCACTAGAGCTGTGAATAGTTGCACTCGGCACGGCCTGGTCGGTGCACGGAACGGCCGGGTAGAACTGGTAGAAAAAGCGTGGAGGTGCGCGCGCAGTGCTTATCACCTTGCCCTTCACCCCCGCGCCAAGAACTCGCAAGTAATCTGGTTCTTACTATACACATGAAGTCAAATTCAGTTATATGTACATCAGGAACGTCTTCGGATTCGTTATTCATCTGTGTTCAAACAGACCCTTTACGTAGGCTTACACGTTTGATAGACCACGGTCGGACGCACTCCGTCTACGCATGGATGTGGCGGAATTCCTTCGTCTGACGTTTCTGGTATCTTATCAACACCAAAGCGATAATATTTTGGCAGTTCCATCGAATTCCGTTGCCAACTACGAAGCCCAAATAAAAAAGGAGAACTGTACGAATCCTGTTTTTATAGATTTTTTAACAAAGCGTAAAAATAATCGAGTAAACGAAATATTGGGATAAGGAAATGTACGGCGAATTCCACAGTCTTTAATAAAATAGTGTGACAAGTTTCCAGCCATTTCTTGTGTCTTGAAAACATGTGAACCCCCCCCCCCAACCCGAAAGATTTCTTGACGTATTTCGCATAATAAACAAATAATTTTTTCGTCAACCATTACATGTCTGGTCATAATGTTTTAAGCTTAAAAACAAGTCAAACAAACAATAACTCACACTCAACACAACAGTTAGGGTAGGGCTAGACAAGAAGCGCAAACAAACAAGAGAGTTATTGTTACTGGGTTGGAAACAGAGTGTGGAAAGTAGGTTAAGATGTAGAGTTCTTCCACTGGACAAGCTACAATACAGCTGTGAACAGATATGGCGTCAACAGACACATTGCTGTGCATTGTTACTCGAAAATTCGAACGTAAAATATCGTTTTATGATAAGGGAAAAGAGATGTGGTGTAAACGCGATGACGCAGTGATTGAGGGGAATTTCATAATTTCATGTTGGTACCACGACCTTGAGTCGAACGATATCGCTCAGAACACTCAACTGGTTTTATTGGAGAGCGATATCGCTTGTGCGCTGCTATCGTAACAAAACATGTCTTCTATCTGCCGCTGCCGGATTCAGCGGAGTGATACAAAATAGAATGATTATATTCGTTCAGGAGAACGATGCGGGCAGCTGTAACCACGTCTATTTCAATCCATGATATTATCTTTTTACTCCTTCAACTGATTCGCCCAGCAGTACCTCAACCAAGTGCGATACGAGTCTGTGCCGATTCAGCTACCGAGTTCGATCAGCGCATATGTGGCGCCATTTATTAACCTTTCAACTAACTCCATCTAGCAGTGTCCTTGGGATACTAATTAGCTTCGAGATTATAAATAATAATACATCATTTATCGAACCGGAGTGTTCATAAGCGTGATCACAACAGCCGACAACTGGTCCCTAACCACAGCATGATGAAGCAGTCTATGACAGATTTAAAATCGATTTTCAAGCAAAGGATTTGAGGTTCTCATAGCTGTGAGTGCTAAGATGGCTGTCTGCTGGTTTGTAGCGCCGTGTAATTTGGTATAAGTTTACCATCGTTTCAGATAACTCATCGCCCTGATGATGGAAGCAGTAAGGACGTCTGAAACGTTGGTAAACTTTAGTAATATTATTATTTGATGGTATATAAATCTAAGTTACTCACAATTCAGATGACTAAATAATACCACTTAGCAGACAATCCTTCGTTGCATAAAAACGGGGGTAGAGCGAACTTCAGAAACAACACATTTTTATTACTGACGATGACCAAAATGAGGGGGGGGGGAAGTAGGAAGTTTATTTAGATGATGTCCTGCTCACACTCCACTTCGTACAACATTTTAAAATAGCATTTCTCTTTTGTACGTTGCACGGAGCGTGTAATGGGAGCTAACAGTATAAAGAAAAAGTTTCTTGATCCGTTTTGTCGTCCCATTTCATGAACCAAGGCGTAACGAATCGCTCCAAACCAGAACTATGGAATGATGGCAAGAAAACTGACGCATGAGGTTTTCCCAATTACCAAAACCTGTGTTTCCGTCCATTAACTAACTCCCTGTTCTTAAGCGAGCAAACCAAACCCTCCGGCACACAACAATGGCATAATGCTATTAGAGCACTCAACAAGCATTTCTTGTTTCTCCGTAGCTTTGAGACCGGCAATGACATCACTCGAGAGGAAGTTGGAGAGTTGAAGAACGTGGGGACACCAGAGGAGCTTCAGATTGTGCGCGGCTCCTACAAGTACAAGGACCCTGAAGGCAACGAGATCGTAGTCACGTATACTGCCGATGAAAATGGGTTCGTACCCCAAGGCGCTCATTTTCCGGTGCCACCTGCTATACCTCAGGAGATTCTAGAGGCACTCGCCAAGAACGCAGAGGAGGAGGCAAAGCTCAGCGAGGCCGAGAGAGCGGAGATCGATACCGGAAGATACGTCATACACTAAACAACCGACTTGTGTTTATCGTCCACTAATAAAACTAACTGCACTTACCTGTGCCAAATTTATAGCACGTTTAAGTTTGCTTTACGTATGGATGAACTATGATCATGAACGATAACACGAAACTTTTATGCTTGTGTTAATTCTTATGGGTATTTCTTAATTTGTTTTCGAATAATTTCTTAAATTTGTTTATGATCAATTTAAATTTATTTTGTGTTCAAGAATTATACATTCTAATATTATGTACATGTTCTTTTATTTATAAAATATTTTGTTTATTTATTTTTAATTCCATATCTTCATATTATAGCTTATGTCCTTTCCATTACGTTACGTAATTTGACAAAAGCCCGCTCTTACACGTTATTCTGCTATCAGATAGCATTATATGAGATTTGAGGTTAAAGATGGCAGTGCTGATTTTCTGGGTCGCAACGCCGTCTGGACGTGTGGAAAGTTACTAACATTTCGAAGTAATTACTGCTTATATTTTCAGCCCTGAAGATCATAGAGAAAAGAAATCAGCACAATATGAACAAATCTGGTTAGATTATATTACAAAGATAAGATTAACAACCAGAAGGAACACAAATAGCTATACGACGATTAAAGAGATTAGCAGACGGATAAAATATTTAGGTCGAAAAAGGAAATTTATTGCCCTAACTTCGTTTCTAGAAGAAGACAAATGAAATGTCTGAGCAAATCAGGCGAGGATAATAATATTAAGTCTGAAGGTCATTGTGAGTGGAGACGAGTGTCTTTTTTAATATTATATGTATAATATAGCTCCTGATTAGGCCTACTTGAATAAATTTGAAAAATCAGACACTGAAAATCTAGAGACAAATTCGAGACTTATGTTTTGTTGTTGAAAATAGCTATTTTCTGGGATATTTCACCTTATATGCTGGTAGATATTGACTAACTTTACAGAGAGACTTACTGCCTTCATCATCAGGGTGATCACTAAGCTCTTCTGAAACGTCGTCAATATATCTCAGAAAACATGGTGCAATATCCCAGCTGTTGCCGCGAGAACCTGATACGTCACCCACTGTTTAATTTATTTCCTACATAATTGTTTCAAAAATTTTAAAAAGACTCGCACCAGCAGAAATGCATTTGGAGTGATGGTCTGTAAATAAATAAATAAAAAATACATTTCATAACATGGATTCACAACAGAAACATGCATACTACACAAATGGTGATTTGGTCACCATGAAATTATAATTCTGTAACTAATTTTTATAATAAAGGAGCATTAAAAATTATGCTACTAATAATTCAAGGAATGTATTTGCACATGTAATATCCACCTCTGCAGTTCACGTTCTGCGATTACGTTGACATGAATTTGTCTCCTACTACAATACACGCTCATAGACATCTCAGTCTGTGCTCTGTCAAAATTTCTTGTGTAGGCAATTCGACGTATAAAATGAAAGAACACGTGTGCATTATGAGATTACATTTTCAGTGTACGAACTAAAGATCCTCTACTTATTCAGGCAACATGTTTGTCTCTTTGACTGATGTTTGGCACTGTTAGTAACAGAAATATAATTTGTGTGTTGTGTGATACTTTTATGCTAACAACTACAATTTCAAAGAGACGCAAACTGTTATTTAAACGCAAATCAGTACGCCACCGGGAGCACAAAAAAGTGTTGGACACTGTTTCTTTTTTCAGCTAAGAACTGCAAAATACCTCTGTTATCACTGAAATCACAATCAGGATTTTCTAATAATGTTCCAGTGGAAGAAACGTCTTAAGTTGTAAGGTTTATGTGTAGTGGCTTCCACAAAATGATGAAAGTTTTCTGGCTGGGGGGAAGGGGGGCAGCTGAAATATGGTCTTCACTAGAATGCATAGCAGAAGTCATAATGCAGCCTGTGCTACAAAATATTACGAATGTTTTACAAAGTTCAAGTATTTGGGAACGAAAATGTGGAATAAAAGTGAGAATAATATTTGTTTTACATGAAAGGCCGTAACAGAAGGGATTATATCCGTGGTTCTAAATGAATTCACGAATTTATCCTACAGATTTTTCATTCATTTATTTGTTAAATGATCAATAATTGTACGTCAATGATTAATCAGCAATGTTAATAAAGTAATGTTTAAAGTTATTTAGCCCAATATTAATGGATTCGTCTAATTGCAAAAGAAAGATTTGTACAAATCTATTAAAATTTCGAAATTAAGGTTTTCTTGCAATTCTAAGAATCGGAAATAAAGCAAGAATTCTATGAGTGACAGAAGACTTCAAAGTTTATAAAAATGAAAATAATATCAGAATATGAGAATTATTCGCATCTATAATCTCAAATTACTGAAGATATGAGTTCATAAGCAATTCCAATATGTCTGCAGTGAGATTCTCTGTGTGAATTTCCTTGCTAGCCACAATATTAAACTGAGTTTAAACTAAAAGGCCAACAAGAGGGAGCAAGATTGTAAAATGCAAGCGAAATTCAAATTTTATGTTCAATACATTTTTCGCAAGTCATTTGGTTTTCGAGATAATTTTTGTTGTTGTGACATTTCATAACTCGAATCCCTGGACAGATTTTGATCAAATGTTGTTCTGTTGTAGGTCCTTGTTCGTCAACCCAACCCGTGTTACGCTGTTTACGAGGCATTTTCAAAATTTCGCATCCGCGGATTGAAAATCTAATGGCAATAACAGAACAAAAGTGCCAAGTAAGTTACGCTACGCGTACATTCCTTTTGAATGTTGAAATATTATGTGATGTATTACACTAACTTCTGTCCTAGCTTATTATGCTTTATACATGTCTACAGTCTGCCGGAATTTACCACATTACAAAAAAGTTAAACAAAAATAAAGATCATCGGTCGTTTGCATTGTAGGCCTAAATTTCGCTATCAAAAGGAAATATTTAAGATGTTATCGTGCTTCTAAGGAATTTAGTTTCGTAAAATAGAAGTATCAGAACGTGTAATGATAAATAAAATAATGGCTGTTGATAGAAATCGCTTTCCGGAAACTTAAAACCACTATTAGATGTTGTTGAAAGTGGGCATACTATGCTGAGTAATTCGCCATAGAATTTTTGTTAAGATCTGGATCAGTGACAAGTGCAAATCCACTGCATCTCTTACTGTTCTAGATACACAACTGAAAATACTGCGAGCACTACACCAGTTACGTCATACGTTTGTCGTGAAGATCTACTTGAAGTCGTTGAGGACATAGTCCAGTGACAACCTTCGTTGAACAGCGAACGACACATTTCTTAGACAGATGAGAAACTATTGACGTATTTCGAAAAATACTCTTGAGCAATCGGTAGTGCCTTTTATGGACCACAAAGATTCATTACTATTTTAAGTGAAACCCGCAGCTGATAATTATCCTGTCATTTTAGGTCTAATTTACATCTTCACAATCAATTCCTCTGAGATTCATTGTAAAGTTTATATTCTCATGCATCATATAACAAAACAAAATAATAAAATATAAATACCATACTTTAGATTATCACTTGTTCAACTGCATTAGGAATGGATGGTATACGCTATAACTATCAGATTTCTTTCGATGTTTTTAAACATAATTTTGTTCACATATTATCTCCTCTTGTGCACTAAAATCCACTTTCTTAATCCTCCTTCACTGTGATCAAAGCATACATGATCATGTAAAGTTCGGTCACGTTGTCGTCCCTCTCTTTGGTCTGCTCGCCGCTTTGCTCTTCACATCTAGCAGCGAGACCAAATACGCAAATGCGGAGGACTGTTCTAGTTCTCGAAAGTGAAGCAAGGTCTCTGAAAATATAAGTAGCACCGTTGGACAAGTTCCTTACACTTTAACCTTGTTATAGTTAAGTACCGTTTCTCGGCTTATAAATGCATGTTGGCATCAGTTTAGTGTCGCGCTGGCCAGAGGAGAGGACACGGGACCATGAATGTGGTGAGTAATTACATCTGACGGTGATCCATAATGAACAGATTTCGTAATGTAATTTACTTTGTAGTGAATATGAAGAAGTGTATAATACTTGATAGCAAAGTAGACTACCATATTAAGGAAAACGATCTACATTTGGTCGAAATGTATCCTGTCTTGCTCTTAGTGTATTTAGCTATGCTCATAAACTGCTGAGATTATATATTTACATAATGTAAATTGATTGGTAGTGCAATTTGATAATACTTTTTATTACTTCGTAATACATCGTTCAACAAAATGTGGAGGAAAATAATCTTTCTCTGGTGGGACTGAGTTGTGTTTGTCTCCTAGTATATATAATAAAACTGTTTAAACTCCTGACTCAATACGATACATATTATTTATGACCGTCCTTTATTTTTAATGCATGACGACATTAGAACGGACGTGGGTGGAGAAGACCCGGTCCAGTGGCGGGTAATGGAATTTTGGGTTACATAAAAGACAGAGCATTTCTTGGCCATCTAAGTTACAATTAGCTTCTTAAAAAATCCTCTGCTGCATGGAACTATGATTGAAATTTAATGTAATAAAGTGAAAACCAATATACAATATTAAATGTTTTAAGCATTTTATAATTAATGTGGTACCTACACTATGAAACAGCCGTTATTTGTACTGCAATGGAGCGGCGTAATCACATTGTGTCTATGCCATTTGACGACTGGGTCTATGATCGCCCTGGAACGTCAACACAGCAACATCGGCTTGGTGGGAGGTCCCTATGAGAGCCGCAACGCTAACGGCACGGGAGACAGTCAGCAGCGAAGCCAGTCGTCCATTTTGGAAGCTGTTGGCCACGGTAATACCCAGGTTTATTTATTTATTTTACTTCGATGCACCATAATTTTCGACAAAATTGTTGGGGATCTATGTCTGTCAAATTTTACTGTCTTGTCGTATGAATATTAGGAATTTAGAAAGGACTGAATTCTCATCAAAGTCCTGTCGCGTCTCCGAATACAATTAAAGATTCCCGTTTCACCAGACGAGGACAGGACACGAGACGGGACCTGTAGCCAGGCAAAAGAATAATAATTTAAATAATGAATGATTTATTACACCATCTGACGTTACGAAGTTGACACTAAATTTCAAGAATTTTAGCCAGCTGGAACAAGAAATATTATTACAGATCACACACACATACAGGAACGTAAGAGGGGAGGTGAAGTACTGACTTGTAATCAAAAGTCACTGGGTTAAATCTCAGTCAGAGTACCAGCCATTGTTCTGACAATTTCCATACATTTTCTCAGTCGCTCAAGGATAATCCATGATAGTACCATGAAACAGGACTTTACAACTTTGTTCTAAACGCATTCTAATTCACAGTGAATTAAAATGTAGTCATTCACCCGGTACGACAGAATGACACAAAAATCAGTCATTAGAAAGAGCGAATTTAAGTTATAAAATTTACTGCATTAAAATTCATGTGTGTTGCAAACCAGAAGCCACTCTGAATAGAGGTTAGTTCTTGTTCTTCTCAACAGGTTTTGTCGTTGCGTGGTAACGCAGTTCTAGAGTACTGCATGATTTCATATTAGAAATGCATCTGTAATGTACCGCTACAAATGAGTACCATCTGTTGAATAATAAGTAAACTAAAAGTTGCACCTTTTTTGTTGTAGGCATTGGTGGGTTTGTGAACTCGTGGCTGGGTCCTTTAGCTAGTGGCGTGGGTTCAGTATTGGGAGGAATCAGCTCCTCTCTCGTCACCATGACACCTGGAGGGCCAATTCCGTCCCCAAACAACGCCATAATTGAGCCTTTCAGTGACGTCACACCGACTTCCGTCGACAATGAAGGGTGTGTACGCAACATGTCTTATAACATCTCTCCGTCTAGCGTTCTCTTGTTTCTGCGTTACTGGTCTGGTTGCTAAACCCCTATAACCGGCTTTCATAATGAAAAATGATGTATCAACATCTGTTTCGTTGCCTTCTATTATTACACTGGGGTGAGACTACGTCTGTGGAATTGGGCCTCTAACGGATCCTTTGTCTATTTCATTGCGAAGTACCGTTTAACGCATCAGGCGTTAGTAAGCAGCGCTGCGCCGGCAAATAACAGAACTTTGGTGAATGGGAACAGCTCACAAGATTTTCATTACAAAATGGCCGAGCGAAGAATAGCGCTTTCGATAGATCGAAATTGATGCACATAGTCCAGCATTAATACTTTTAGTTGCAAAAATCGATAAATTAAAAGAAAACACTTAAAATCTTACCCAGAATTTCAGAATATCCCAATAAGTCTGTCGATATTCAAATCGAATACTTCCCGTAACCAATTTTAGAGCATTAAAGTTGAACCATATCTCTTGGCAGGCAGCAGAAGGATTTTAATAAAACATATTTTAGAAACACAGAAAATGAGATTGTAAATAATTTTAACTGATCCATAATGGATCCAGTGATAGATTTCTAATGTCTTTATATGCTATTTAACTGTGCTTTAATAGATAAGTTTATTTAGCTTCGAATTCGATTAGCGGATAATTTGGTAGTTAGTGAAGAAGTGATAATAGAATTTTTTTAAATTCCACTGAAGTTTTGAGGAAAATTACGAAAAATTTCAATCAGAACAACCGTAGTTTCAGCCGAGACTCGATGTGGGGCTGTTCTGAATACAAGTGAGCCCATGAGCAGAAAAACCTTTTTGAGCACGAAGGGTGTAAATGCGAAGAGGAAATCATGCGCTGTTGTTCACTGCGCTTGAAACAACTGTTACAGAATTTATGAAAATCCATTGCCAGACAGGACGCCAGAATTCCAGCATGATGATTATCAGTTCGAGCCCGGAGAAACGGGACCATCAGCTATAAGTACACTGGTATGTCGAATACATCACAAACTTTGTTCACAAAAAAATATGAAATTACAATTTTAAGAATACCCTAATTAATACAGAAATATTTTTTTTCTGAAAAGTTAATGAATATAAAAATTATTCATTAATGTGAGTGAAGTATTAGGAAATACAGCTTTTTTTATCTGATGCAAACGTAGCTGTCCTCCTTACCGACAATAAGTTACGGTACACCCAGTTACAGATATGTGCTTTATGGTCTGCAGTTACGAGCAGACCACGTGATGGCAAAAGACGAATTTAGATTAATAACGTTGATTGGTACTGCATAAGTAACTACATCTGATTAGATCGACAGTTTCCATTTTTAAATTTACATTAGGTAAGCTTCAGATTGTCCCCTGGTTTATGACACCGTGTAGTCTTGTACATGGTCACTAATGTTTCGGAGGAAGCACCTACTTCCATCTTCAGGACTAAAGGTTCAGTACAAAGTAGCGTTTTACTCCTAAACGTTGGTATGTTACTACAACACTATTTTAAACGGCGTAACAAGCCAGAAGCCACGAACCAAATTGAAATTAGTTACAGTCTTAAGCGAATAATGAATTTACCAGCTTACGAGGTTTGTAACCGTTCAATTCCAAAGCCAAGCTTATTATTACAAGAATTTTCTTTTATTTCAGGAACCACTTGCGTCGTAACAGGTTTGGGGTGCAACATACTTGGGGTTACAGAATATAAAAAAAAAAATGAAGAATTTCCTAGACGTGATCAACCGCTTCAGTTTTGGACTGGCCTCTCTCAAACGGCCCATAATACAAACGCCTGCATTGCTCGTAATGACCCCAACATCTCGCTGAAGTACAGATCCGAAAGGACAGAAACACATGAACCAACGATAAACTTCATAATTCTTTTATAAGTTGTTTCATTTAATTTTATTTAAAGTCAGTAGAGTGACTTCGCAGACATTACATTTTATCTGAAACTTTGTATTATACTTACATTTTTATTTGGTATTTCTTCTGTGTATTTATTCAATACCAAATATATATATAATTCCAAATATTAAATTATTGTCAATATAACCATTACAAATAAATTTCTTTTGGTAATAACGTCCTCTGTACTAATATATTCCTATATGCTGTTTGTTGTTACCTTTGTATATTTATTACTGTGTTCGTGTGGTCATCTATTGTGCTGTATCTGTAATTGGCTTTCTGGCTGTTGATGCAGCAAACTAATAATAAAGAATTGAATTGAAGATGATAAAATATCTACCAATACACCTTAAATTAAACAAACGGTGGCACACATTGGCAGTTAATAGCATCCGTATTCTCGCACGGATTAAGAAAATTGGTCTCTCCTACCTATAATAGTCCCCTGAATGGGCAACTAACCCGTATATGAGAAACGAAATTTTGATATTTTCCGAAAGACACTAAATTACATTTTCTATGTATCGTAGCTTCTAGGAGCAAATATATTGGTTAGAGCGAAAGAATATGTAACAAAGCTAAGCAAAACAGAAGCACCTGCTGGATTATTCCCTGTGGTACACAATCGATAACAATCGATCCTAACGATTACAGATGGCAGGAGAGAGCTTTCGGACACTAATTATGACTTACGCGTTTCGACAACTAGACTAGATTACGTGAGATTTCAGGTTCTCGACGGAGTCGATTATAAAGACGAATGTATTCTGGGATATTGCACTGTGTAGTCTTCAGAGGTGCTTGATGCCTCCATGGTCATTCGACTTCTGATTATAGACGAATTAAGCACCTGTTAAACGTTGGTAAACTTCTACCGAGCTACTCGGCGCGACATCACAGAAGACATCTATGTTTGGACTAGACTACAATATAGAAACACGGCAAATTTTAATTGTAATCACATGAAATTTGACACAGCGTCACGAAAAGTAGTTACAAAATATACAGGAACTACACCAAAATAGAACCAACAGTAGTATTACATACACAGCAGAAAAAATAGGTAGGGGCATTCCTAGGTGTGCACGCGCACTTTGTAATAATTCCGAGAATTTTTCAGAAAGAAAGTAACAGCGCTGAAGTGAAAGCACGTTCCATATTTAAATATAACACATCAAAATGCATGACGTGGATGTGTTTATTTATTCACTGTATCATTTGTTTTCGATAACGAGGCCAAAACTTTCCTTCAAATTGAAACGAAGTGCTCATTAAACCTATAAGGAGCAATAGGTTTGTCTTAGTGAAACACTGTACTTCACTCTATTTTAACTCAAAGGCTTTCAAACTGTAGGTTAACGTTAGTGATAATGAGAAGGGTCATAATTTATATCATCAGCTAAATAATATAAGGAAATCAAATGAAGTAGAATGAACAGTTGGGATTGTACCACACATAAAGAAAACAAGAAATGACTACAGAATTATAGCCATAAAACTAAACGGAAGAGCCCATTCAGAATAAATAGACATTGTGGAAGTATAATATTAAAACTGATTTTAAATTAAGAGATTAGGAGGATGTCGATTTGATACGTTTCTTAGCATAGGGAGCAGTAGTGAACTCTTGCGTACCTTCGAGTAACAGAAATGACGAGGAGTTTCTAAAAAATAACTTTTGCTTGGAGCGAAAAGAAAGTGCTGTCTAAAAATATGTGCTGGTTCGCTTACATTCCTCCTGTTGCGTACCATAAAATCACTACAAAAGTAAATTGATTATTTTGGAACTAGTCGGGAAAATCACTCGGCTAAATGCGTCAGTGACTCACCGACTCTAGTCATTCGGGAAATTCGATCGCACAGACAGAAAGAATGAAAACCGGTGACGCAACTCACTAACATGCCTATTAGTCCTGAGTTCATAACGTCTTTTAGGACATACTTTCACAACAAATGTCAAAAACTCAGTGGCTAAAACGAAAGTTTAACTTTTATTTCGCGGAGAAACGTGATCTGCTAAACAAACTAACAAAAATCATCATGAAGATGCAGTATGACCTCTGAACCGTTGGTTAACATAAACTAGACTACACAGCACAACAGCCCAGAAGACAGAAATCTTCATACTCATCGCCCTGATGATGGAGGCAGTATGACCTCTGAAACGTTGGTAAACATCTACCAGACTACACAGCGCAACAACCCAGAAGACAGAAATCTTCATCGCCCTGATGATGGAGGCAGTATGATCTCTGAAACGTTGGTTAACATTGACAGACTACACAGCGCAACAACCCAGAAGACAGAAATCTTCATACTCACTGCAGTGAAAACCTCAAGTCTTACAAAAATCATCATCAGATACATCGGAAAACATAAAATAACACATGGTGCGGTTTCTTTTACTATTTATTTTGTTTGTGAAGTTGTCTGTCGTGCTTAAGACTCTGGGTCTGGGTTCGGGTAAGCCTTCACTCATGTTCTGATGGTCTGGAAAAAACAGTGGATCTCGTCAATCAGGTGGGTAATGAAAGGGATGTGACGACAGAAGGCATTTTCCTACACTACCAACAGAATTGTAGCTGAAAAACACAAGCTATGCATATTTAGATTTTTATAAAATGTGATATCTTACAATTAATATCAAACACTCTAGTGTCTATAGGCAAGAGATTTGAGAGAAATTGGTAACCGCTTACAAGAATATGCCCATCGTACAAGACTAGTGTCGACATTTTCACAACTAAAAGAAAACAATAATGAAACAAGTCTGGTATGTGAAGACCTAATAAGAACACATTGTTACAACAGGCACTGAGAAGTATAAAGTGAATATCATATGAGAGGTGTGAATATCGTTAGGCACCCTAACCTAAACTTCCACCATCTTCTTTGTCACAATATGTCGTAGTTTTGATTGAAGGAAATAGAATCAGAACGTTTCACATTTATGAATTGTATTTATGAAGGTATATGTAGCGTTTTTACGTGTGTCAAAATAAATAATAAAATATAACTCCCAACGGAAGCATCTGGTAGCTCCGATATAAATGCGTTTATATCACACAAAAGAATTACTTAAGAAAAGACAGACGTATACCGTCATGTTGGATATTTCACATCTAAATTTTAAGACAGTTGAACATTTATCGCCATCATTTCAGAAATATTTGGAGGCTGCTACTTTTGCGACATTATTTAATAGACAGAAATTACATTAAGTTGCATTATTTTAAAGATGCATTGCGTTGTAAATTTTAAAGTTACTCTGCTGAGACACAATTTATATCTTGACTCGCTCTTATTGATAGCAGAACTTACATATTATGCCGGCTAAATGACTTGCACCTATTTAAATTTTACGGACTTCAAAGGCATCCAATGTTCACGAAATTTGGAAGAACATACGATCTGATTGTTATGTATGTGGTAATTAGACGTATTAACCAAGATAAAAATACTGGCGAGCAGACAAGTGAAAGCTGTCACACCTACAATAGACTCTCGAGTCTAAAATAGAATTATATAAGTCACGGTTTTTTCAGATGAGAAATCTAATTTCTCGTGGAATATGTATATAAATGTGAGTACAGTTGCACTACCGAACAGAGGACGACCTTCGGAAGAATATTCACCATGGTAAGTAGTCTTTTGCTTATTTGACTGCAGTGTAAGAAGCGGCTGTGTGCCTATTAATCGTTTCATGTTACTTAATTGTTATGCAAAGCTAAAGGTTTGGTATGCAGAACTGTTTCACACACAAAAGAACGGGCAGTGTTTGTCCGCCTGTCTGTATAAGAATTTACAAGAACATATTTACAGAAGGCTGTGTTATGTGAACTAAAGCGTAGTGACCAGTGGGAAGCCATTGCTCCTTTCAGACTCAAAACAGCTCAAAAGCTGTCAACTACTGAAGGAAGGCTCAACCATAGAGACGGCTAGGTGGATAATTGGGAAGTGAGGTAGCAGGTCGGTTAGTCACTTAGAAAGGATTGTCTTCACTTTGGAAATTACATTTTTAATTTTTTTTGTTACTGTTAATACGTTATTTTTAAGAAAAGTTTGTTTTAAAGATTTTGAACAGCATATTCATATTCATCTTCGGACATTTATTTCGGCTCAATTACGTGATTAATGCTTTAAGAGTTATCTTCCTCTATTATTTAAGTTTACTGTATTCAGACACATTACCGATCAACATGGGCAAATGATAAAGAAGAATAATTATTTACATTCTTTGAACTTGTACGAATATTCTTGTTAAAAACCTCCTTTTTACATATTGTGTATACTATTTCATCTTTATGTTTTCATTATTGTCATTATTATTTTTTTACTTTTATATTTATCTCGATTCCGATTCTTCCTTCATAATTCTTAGTTTCCTTGTCTCCTTTTTGATCTTTCTGCCTTAATTTTGTTCTCATTACTTCATTCTTCTTTATACATTTAATTTCATAATTTCCTCAAGAAAATTTTTCTTTTTAATTGTTACCTTTGCATTTTTTACTTCTCTTCCTTTCCTCTTTGTTCTGATTCACGTATAACTCATTTCCTTCAGCTTATCCTCGTGTATCGTAATCACAACTGAACGTCGTTCACTTGCAGATCGCCCGGCACGCAACGGCAGCACTGTCGCTGCTCCTGGTTCTCCACTCACCCGCGGTGCAAAGCGCTGGGCCAGACAGCAACATTGACGCGAGGCCTCGCACTTTCGGACCGCTGCTAGGCAACCTTGGCAGCGCTCTGCTGGGAGGACTCAGCAGCCTCTTAACAGACGAAGATGACTTTGCGCCCCTTGCACAGTACTACGTCCCATCTTACAACCCCTTCCCCTTCAACAGACCCATCTACAACCCTTACTATGGACAGTTTAACCCTTACGGATACGGGTACGGAAACTCGGCTTTCGGGTATCCATTTTTTCGAAACGCAAGGAACAAGTAGCTGACTAAAAGACGACAACAGTACTACGTAAACTGAGGCCCACGGGTCGGATATGACTCTTGATAAGTAGCTACCCATATCTAAAGAAAGAAACCATAGTAATGAAGTAATTATAAAAAAATATTTGTTGCAAACAGTCTCTTGACTGGCCGGCAAATGATATTTGTTATTCGCAGATTAAAAACCTTGTCATGAATTGTTAAAAATGAAGTCACTGCGGATAGTATGCTTGTGGAAGGGGAAAATATATGGAAACTCCACGTTTCCTTGGTGAACGCCCTCAAAAGCAAGATGACTTCAGAATTACTTTAGATGCTGTACAATTCTGACTATTCACGCTAGTTTCTTAGCGTCCCAGTCAAAGATTCTAATAAACCAGTCAGCAGTCCTCTTACTGACTTATTCTCGTCTTCCTGTCGTTAATATACTACGTCCTCAAGCCTCCAGTGTTAACCTTGACACAGATTTTGTTCAGATACATCGCATATACTCTACATCTGAATGTGTGTATCATTTTAATGATGTTTTGAATAACTTAAACTTCATTACATGTAACTGCATTATGATATGTGTCAAATAAAATTACGTTTCAATTAAGCCAATTACTGCCATATTTACCACTGACTTGGCAATCAATTCTGTAAGCACTTTGTAACACTTCGCTATGGGTTTAGCAAATTCATAAACCTTATAACAATATTTAATGAAACCCATTTTAAGCAGTAGCAGTTCTAGAAATAAACCGTTCACGTAATGTAATATACAGCTGGAAAGAAATTAACAGAATTTTCTGGCAAGAGGTTATGAAGCCTAACTTTTTCTTTGTTATTTGTTAGTTTATTGTACTGAAATATAAATACCTAGATACAACAGTAAATAAACCAACAAAAATTAAATACGCACACTTGAATTAGCT